ACAGAAACAGCTTAGACGAGATGACGTCTGTACACGTATAAACAGAAACAGCTTAGACGAGATGACGTCTGTACACGTATAAACAGAAACAGCTTAGACGAGATGACGTCTGTACACGTATAAACAGAAACAGATTAGACGAGATGACGTCTGTGCATGTATAAACAGAAACATTAGACGAGATGACGTCTGTGCATATATAAACAAACAGATTAGATGAGATGACGTCTGTACATATATAAACATAAACAGATTAGATGAGATGATGTCTGTACATATATAAACATAAACATATTAGATGAGATGATGTCTGTACATATATAAACATAAACAGATTAGATGAGATGAAGTCTGTACATATATAAACATAAACAGCTTAGATGAGATGACGTCCGTACATATATAAACATAAACAGCTTAGATGAGATGACGTCCGTACATATATAAACATAAACAGCTTAGATGAGATGACGTCCGTACATATATAAACATAAACAGATTAGATGAGATGACGTCCGTACATATATAAACATAAACAGATTAGATGAGATGACGTCCGTACATATATAAACATAAACAGATTAGATGAGATGACATCTGTACATATATAAAACCTGATTTTGCACTATTTACATACATATATAGCATGAGACTTCAAAACTGATATTTCACTAAAAAACTGAAATGTAATGTGAACTTTGTTTATTGGGGTGTGTCCATCCACTTACTGTTTAAAAGCTTTTCTAACATGCCCGTTAGGCACAGCATTACTAGACTGAAGTTTCAGAGCTGGAAATCCATAAGTAGGCTGTTGTAAATTAAGATACCTTCCATTCAGCTGTTTCTTCTTTTTAAATGCTGAATAAATTCCAACCACCAACCAGTTCACTTTATAGAAAAGAAAGAAAAGACAATAAATATTCCCTTGAGGTTTGTTAAAGTAACAAGTAACAATTTATTCAAGCTTTATTCCAAACATGTCAAATCAGTTCATTAGAATTTGATACACAAAATCCTTAAGAATTTATATTTAACATATACTGAACTATTTAAACTTTTGTTATGAATCATCAGGGGTGTAGAGTGACTCCACAAACCTCCAGATCACAAGCTTGAAAAAATAAATATGCACCTTGGAAAATTAATTGCATTCACGATGGAGGAAAACGAATATGGGTTCACGGATTGCCTAGGTCTTGGGAAGCTTTTAAATGGGCTATAAAATGAAATTTGAGGCTCTCCTTATCCTCAAATTAAACTCACAAAACTTATAAGTTGTACAAGGAAATACTAAAAAGCAAAACCTTTTACACAAATGAGTAAACCTTCCCTAAATTAAAAACAAAAATATTGGTAGTTCATAGTGTACAGCTTTGTTTACTACTGAAGTTACGGCCCTAATCATAGATCATTTTTTGGAATTGTTTATAATTATTGATCATTATGACAAAGGTCATCAATGATACTGTTTTAAACAGGAAACTGAGAAAAAACATTACTAATCATTACTCTATTAGCAGAGACCCGAAACATTTCTGGCCAAATTAGTATTTTTTATCGTAACAGTACTTCTTTAAATATAACATTTCTAGCACAATACAAACAAATTGTAATCGGAGACAACGAAATGTGTAAATTCACTTGTATTTAGGCCGTACTTTATAAAACTTTAACTTATGTTAGGCCTAAGTTCGATAAAGAGATAAATTAACACTGTAATCTGTGTACGTTTTTTTTTTTTACTTTAGTTTAGTTAGGACTAAACTTTACTGTACTTAATACTATCGATTAATAAACTTATAATGTTATTCTATGACCTAACGTCAAACCTTTTTTAAAAACTTTGACAAGTTTTTAATATTCTGTTGTACAAAATGGTTAGTAAAGTATATTTACATTCTCCTTTTGTTGTTACTTCTTGTTTCATACAGCAATTGTAGCAACTTGATCAATGAGCTTTGCAGCTCTCTGCCGCAGGCAGACTGTTTGTCATCGAGTGAATAATGCGCATGCGCGGTTTTTCGTGGGGGAACATTCTAACTACGCCTGCTTATGCAGCAGGTTCTTGGTCAGAAAGCGTAACGGTTGTACATACAAACAAGCAGAATAATAGTATAAATTTCTTCTTAAGTTTTATATAG